ATATATTCTTTTTTTTTTGTTTTTTTGTTTGTTGTTTTCTGCTTTGCCCTGCCAATATTTTTTTTTTTTTTTAAGTATGCAGAATAATTCAATTGAATGAATCAATATTTGGTCAGAAAATTCCTCATACGATAATATATATATATATATATATATATATGATGTATGTTCTGCATTTATTTATTCATTTTAGTTTCAGTGTTTTTACTCAGTGTTCGAATCACATAATGTAAACTAGTTGAACATCATCATTTATGGAAGCTTTCATACTATTTGATGAGGAGTTTGTGACTATGTTGCATCTGTACACTTTTGTGTGCACATAGAGGACAAACAGCCTGTATGTGTGTGTTCATCTGCCAGTGAGAGTGCTAATGCGTTTGTGTGTGTGTTTGCGTGTATGCAGAGCATTAAGAAGCATGTGGGCTGGCCATCCTCCCCCAGCGCCAGAGATTCACAATGGATTTTTTTTAATCCCCCCCACCACCACCACCAATAGTTATGCTTGTGGTGAACAATTATGCAAGCATAACCTGCCTCTTTAATTTAGGGTTTTCAAGATGCAAGGGACTGTCGAGGATGTTAAATTGCTTTTGGCTTTCTGTTTAAGGCAAAGCTGAAGTGCTGGTGACTAGAAACCCGAGAAGAATAGGACAGACATTTCTTTACTAACAGCAGCTTTTAGAAAAAATAATAATAATCAGTGGCTTTGTTTAGATAAAAATGGTTTGCAGATGTATGGGTATGGATGGGTTTCTCTTGGACAAACCAGAAAAGAGTATTGAGTAAAAGAGAAAAAGCAAAGTTATAATACTGCACTAAACGACATTATCCTGAAAGGCATCCTATTGTATAGAGTAATGATTGCTCTTTTGGTTTGTGCAATTGTTTTGTTTGAAATACTATAAATGTACTGTAAATGCTGGCAGTAACATGACAATGGCACAGGCTTTATTCTGAAGAGTGTACCCTGCAATCTGCCAACCTGACATCTGACAGCTATCTCCCCGGTTTGTTCTGGCAGGGTCATAATTGAAACAGCCCCTTTGCAATTAAGACCTTACAAAAAAACCCAAGCTGAGCAACTCCAGCTCTAATGAATATACAGCTGTCTGGCATGATTATATGAGCGCTGAGAGATAATTAATCTTGCTTGCTGTCTCTCTGTCTATTATTCCACCCTCGTGTGTTACCAGACCTCTTTCATTTATCCGTGGCATGAAGAGCAAGATATGGGACTTGGATATCTGAACATGTGAGATGGCAACTTGTGGCACATTGTAGATATTTGATTATTTTTAATATATTTTAAATTATTTTATTTTATTTTATTTTTAGGGATGCCAATCAATTATTTTTAAGTATACATTTAAGTTTTTAAGTATGCATATTAATTAAATGGTTATATGAATATTTATTTAAAAAATAAGGTGATTGATAAACGTTTTATTGATATAAATTATTTTATTAATTAATTAATTTATTCTATTTTTATCTTTTAACTTGGTTTATGAATTGCTATTACATAAGAATATATATTACATAAATAACTTGCCTTTCAGCGACTCACATAACATAATTACTATTCATGACCAAAGCTGTGCCTGAATATAATTTTTTTAATTAAATCATAGTTGGCACAACAATGTTTTAGGCCTAATACTAAAACATTTATGACAAAAATGCCAGGATGATGCTTCTTTACACTTTCTAATAGTATCTCAAATGAATATCCGTCGCAACTAGACATTTAAAACTGTGTCATACTTGTGAAGAGAGCTTGATGAGATTTATAATGTGCCCTTTTCAGACCATCCTTACACCCCAGAATGGTTTTACAACTCAGATTAGAAGTCTTAACACAATTCTATATGTATCCATTATCTATATGATAAGATGATAGAATCAGAATCAGAATCAGAATGAGCTTTATTGTCAGGAATGTTTTCACATACGAGGAATTTGTTTTCATGACAGAAGCTTCTGCAGTGCAACAGAATGACAGCGACAGAACAAAAACACAGATAAGTAGTTGATTTCTTTTAGACTTTTCCACACTGATGCAGAGTCGCTGGAAGTGAACTTAACTGGTTAGTTTAACTAAGAGTCCTTAGTTTTTCAGAATAATTCCTCTTTGCATGTCTGATCTCCTTTTCCAGTGTGTATTTGGCCTGTTTATACAAGACATTGTCCCCCTTCCTGTAAGCATCTTCTTTGGCCTGACGGAGCTGTCTGAGTTCTGCAGTGAACCATGGTTTGTCATTGTTGTAAGTTAGATGAGTCCTGGTAGGAATGCACATATCTTCACAGAAACTGATATA